TGTAGTTGCCGAAGGAGACAGACTCCAGCCAGAACCTTATCTGGTAAACCATAGCCTTGTGCTTATACATACATTAATAGAAATGGGTTAATTCAAGATGTAAGAGCTAGCTAGAAATATGCCTAAGCTATTGGTACAACAGTATTGTAATTAGTATAGTTTTTGTATGATTATTCAGGTCAGGGAGGCCAGGAACTAAAATGAGCAGTCTCCCTACAACATGGTGCCAACATGGACAACAATATCCACATAAAACCCAAGAAAGCATGGGAAGGAATTTTAGATACAAAAGAACAGAGTTAAGCACAGTTTCTTGGTAGCAGCATATTTTCAGACAGGTTCTGTTTTCTGGTGTCAAAGTGGCTTCTTTAAGAGATTTCCTGATTCAGCTTTAGTGGCAAAAATGGCTTTCTGGTTCTTGCTGGCAGCATGAACTCTGGCTCTTTTGGGAGGTTCTGCACTTGAACAGGATTTGTGAGCAGCTGCTACTAGTTGCCTAATGGCAACATAGACTGTTGTGTCCCTGAAGCTGGGGCAGTGAGCATGGCTCACAGAGCTGGTGGTGAATGTTCCTTTGCCAAATTTGACTGGGATGGGTCAAAAGGCAAATCAGCCTCAGTCCTAACCATGCAACTTAGTATTTTAAAAAGTGTTCCTGGTCAGAAAATGATTATGGATATGCAATAAAGACAGATTCAAATGAAAAAGACCTCTGAATGGGTCACAGTGTTGGAGAAATGTATGTAGGCTTGAGAGAGAGAAGAAAAAGAGTATAGACAGTTATAAAAAGAAGTCTTTAGAAACAGTAAAAGTACAGACAGTCATAGATTAAGGGAGTAAAGAAAAATAAGCAATGTAAAGATGGAAAATACACAGAGAATCTAGATTATGCATATTATTGTGTTTTCTTTGAATTTTTTGGCTGCAGAGAGACATTTGATTCTGGGGGCTGCTAAGCTAAACCAACATATATATTTTAAAGGTATCTTGACTTCAAAATTTGGGTCTAAGGATATGTTATTATGGAAAAGAGGTTCTGCTTTGGTTTCCACAGATGATGAGAATGTGTGGATTCTTTCCATGCTAATGTGGTTTGATGAAACATGATCCCCAAAAGGTCTCTGTTAACCCTAAAAATACTTTGTCCAACAAACAGCAGGAAGCAGTTTGAAGAAAATAATGCCCAAATTCCCCAAGTGATTGTTTATAAATGTTTGTTTTCATTTAAAGGGGGTTAATTATAAGTGATTAATGGTCACAGTCAATTTCTAAAAAAAACTAAGGGGGATATTATATAGAAATGAATACATTGGTATGGATTTTGGTTTATTGATACAAATTTAAAGTCAATTTTGTTATACTATGTATATAAACATATATATTTCTACTCTTGCTTAAGGTATTATGTTTATGTAGCTCATTTTTAAATGTAATGCATAGTTAAAAAACACAGAGTAATAGATAGTTATATGTAATGACCAAAATTTTAATTATGTTAGTTATGTTTTCTGAATATATAGAGATATATTTCAGTTAGATAGATAATCTTCAGAACTCCAAAGACCTACAGAATACAGCATTTAAAATGTTTTAAGAACTTAGACTTTTCTTGACAATGAGACATGTCTGTTTCTGGCAACACCAATACTTCAGAGAGGTTGATGGGCACTGAAGATACCCGTTATGGAATTTGCTTTCAGTTTGACAAGGCTAGCCATTTGCACAAGAAACTTCTCTTGTCTGGACTGCTTTAGGGTATGCTGTATAAACTGGACATGCCAGATCTACAGAAAAATGACTGCTGAACTTGCCAAAAGAAGGTGAGACAGTATTTCAGGGTTCCTGCTCCACCAAAGATACTGCCAGACATTCTGCAGGACATAGAAGAAAGTTACTGAAAAACTGCCAATATAGGCAGAACAGATCTTCAAATTTCCTGCTTCATATAAAAGTCTGCTGGATACTATGGGCCTGTAGGCTGAAGATGGATGCCCCAATGTTACAGAAGAACTTTGGGTGACTGTCCAGGAAGTAAGAGGTCTCTGTCAATTCCAGAGTTTTGGAAGTTGCATACAATGCACTTCTTGTTTACTTAGGTAATAGTATATTCTTCTGGGGTCTTTGAAGAGTTGAAGATTGATAGTTAAAGTTTTTTTTTTAGTTATGATAAAAGATAAATTAGACATGAAACTTTGGACTCACAAGGAAAAAATAGATGATAGAATGTTTTCTTTAATTTTGCCAGATACAAATAGACTAAATATTGAAATTGTAATTCTCACTTGATATCTGTTTTGTTATATGTAATTTTACTATGTTAAAGTTAAAACCTTACTTTTTATTTAGACAGAAAAGGGGAGATGATGTGGGATGTCTTTCTGTATATGTGTTGCTTTTATAGGCTAATGAATAAAACTGTTTCAGCCAATAGCTTATCTGAGTAAAGCCAGGTGGGAAATTCAAACAGAGATATATAGAGAAAATAGGTGGAATCAAAGAGATGTCATGTAGCTGTCCAAGGAGACAGATGCTGGATCCTTATCAGTAAGCCACAGCCTCATGCTGATACACATATTAATAGAAATGGGTTAATTTAAGATGTAAGAGTTAGTTAATAAGAAGTCTGAGCTAATAGGCTAAGCAGTGTTGTAATTTATATAGTTTCTGTGTGATTATTTGGGTCTGGGTGGCTGGGAATGAACAAGCAGTCTCTGTTTATACCCTTTGCATCTGGAAAGCAGGGATTTGTGAGTTTGTCTCTGCCTCCCCAAATCGATCATAGTACGATGATGTCACAAGTGCTTCGTGCATTTTTGGTGGACACTGCTAAATTGATAAAGTTTGCGGGGGGGAGACCAATGGACACATGATCATCCCAAGGTTTGAAGAACTATGTCCAAACTGCTTAGAGCCTCTCCAGCAGAAACAAAGTTACATCAAAAATGACAATGCTGACCTCATTGGCTCAGAAACTGTGCTCAGGCAGGGCTCTGGCCCCTGCGGGGTGCTGCTCAGTGATATGGGAGACTCACTGGAGGTGGATGGGCATGGACCTTAAAGCCAGTGCTGGAGGACTGTTATCCTTGCAAGGCCACACTCTTGGGGTGGTCTATAGTTACCCCTGTGGAGCTCTCCTTTAAAAGGGTCTTCAGCTCGTTTGCTAAAGAGATTGGTGGGCTGTTCAAAAAGTGTTGACCTGGAGGGCAGAACTCAGCATTAGTCTTCCGTTGCCCAAACAAGGGATCTCAGGCTCAATTTCGTCATTCCTTTGCCTTCGAATCCTTCCTGAAGAGTTCTGCCCATCACTTTGTGACTGCATATGCTGAGGGTAAGTTTTTACCAGTGTACCAGAGCAGAAGTTCCTGTTGCTAAACCCTTACTCCATGCAAAGACAATAAGATGCAATGCTAGGCAGCCAAGACCCTCAGAGGCTGTCTCCAGGCTCTGGTCAGTACCACAGCATTGCTCAAGCACGGCAGAGGCTCCAGCAGAGTGGATGGGGGCAGTGTGAATGCCGGTCTAGAGTTCGTAGTGTTCTCTAGAAGCTGGGTCGGGCAGCTAATTGCCTTGTTCTAGAGCGAGCCCACATTTCTTCTCTAACAGGTTTCTCAGAAGTGCCCCAGTTAGTACCTAGTGGATGAGCAACACAGTTTGCATAAGCTTTCTCAGAGGCTTCCGGGAAAATGATGTTACTCAAGATCAACTCATCTCCTGTCTTTATCAGAGTCTAAGTGAGTTCCAATGCTGAGTCACCAGGACTGAGCCCCTCCCTCCTTCCAAGTACTCAGAGTGTGGGGCCCATTAAGTCACCATAACATGAAAGGGAAGGACCACTTCTGCCCACCAAACCCAAATGCCCCAGAGAGCGCTGGGATTCTCACATGTAGATGGTGGGATAGTAAAATACAAACCTCTTGGGAGACTACAGGAGCCTCTGCCACCCGCATCCACGGGGGCTGTGTTCATGGTTTCTCATTCACAGATTCAACTGACTGCAGGTTGAAAGTAAATTTGAAAAATTATGTCTACACTGGACATGCTCAGACTTTTTCTTGTCATCGTTCCCCACAGAACATAGAACACCATTTACATGGCATTTATACCGTCTTTCCCTAACCTGGAATTGGTTTAAAGACTGTGTGATGCTCGCATTGGTTTATGTTTACCGGACTTGAGTGTCTGGGTGATTGCTACTTGCAAAGATTTGGTACCTGCTGGGATTCTTCGAGCCAGTTTCCTGAAGACAACGGGAGACGACTGTTGATTTATCAGCTTTTGGAGAGTTACACGTCCTATGACCTGAGCACCTCCAGGTGCATTTCACCCCCAAAGGCCTCAGGTGCCCGGCATTTCATCCCTAGGTATTTTCTAGGAGAAATAAAAGTATAGATCTGCCAATGACTGTGCACGAAGCTTATAGGCGCCTCCAGGCAATAACTGCCAACTGGAAACCACTCAAATCTGAAGCAAGGGGTAATTGTGCGAGTAAATCCTGACAGTGGGATAATAGACAAGAGCCACAGGGCCTGGTGAGAAGGCGCAGAGGGTCCAGCACTTAACTGCTAAACTTGATGGTACAAGCTTGAGTCTTGGGACCCACATGGCAGAAGGCAAAAGACTTCTCCAACAGGTTGTCCTCTGACTTCCACATGAACCATGAATGTTGTAAGCATTACACACACACACACACATACACACACACACACACTCACACACACACTCACTCACACACACTCAGTAGGAAAGAACTGCAGGGATAATGCAACACCTAGACAAAGCTCAATCCAGTTATGACGAATAGAGGCAGCAATAAAAAGTGAACCGTACAATTTCATTTCTGCAAATTTCTAGAAAGTGCCTATGCTTCCTGGTGACACGAGGCAGGGTCAGGGATTGCCTTAGTATGGAGGCAGGGGTTGAGGGAGGGTGAGGAAGCTTTGTAGCCGATGTCTGTGTAGAGAGACGGCCTCATAAGTGTATATTAAAGAAAACTCAACTCATCAAATTTATGCAATGTTTATTATACGTCAACAGTACCCCTGTAAATCTATGAAAAATGAAACAAACCAATGATCCCTGAAATAGATTGGAGGGGGAGATTGCTAAGCCCAGTGTATTTGGGCTTCACTTCCTGTGAGGGGTTGGGGGAGGGAAGTGTGGATAGGAAACAGCTGGGCTTGGGCTGTTCTTATTCATGGTCACGGACTCACTGTGCCTCTAAAAACTTTACGAAGGGTTCATAGCCTGTCTTCCTTGCATCAGATGCAAGCATCTAGAGCTGAGGCATGTTCCATTCAGCCTCTTCCACAGGAAGGCAGAGCTAAGTCTGTCTGTGGACGGCCAGCACTAAGTCCTCTCCTACCCCTCACAGCTATGCTGGTGCCTCGGCTCACCAGCTTCCAGAAGAAAAGCATGGCCATACTTCAGGGAGGGAGTGAGCTGGGGGGTGGAGGGGGTGGCTGTCTTAGGCTCCTTTTGTGACTGGTCAGCTGATCTGGATTTCTTCCCGCTGGGCACAGGCTGGGCAGCAGTGCTCTCTCTTCTTGTAGTCTGCAGAGCAGGCGTGGCACACCAGGCCTCCACAGAGCCTGGGGAGCAGAGACAGGGAAGCCTGAAGTGGCTTCTAGGGGGGCATCTGCCGATGCTCATGGTCCAGCAGGACAGCCTTTGACTATCTCAGGATGCTTCCCTTTCCCACAGGCTGTCATCTAACTCAGGTGGCGGCTTCCCCTGGTGGTTTGTTTCCTTCTCCTGCTCTTCCCCATGATGTCAGTGGAGTAGGGAATGGGGGTGGGGGGATGGGGAATGAGCATCTGTACAGATGCTTTCTTTCTGTACAGAGGTGCTGGGACCCTCTCCCTAGACAGAAGCCTATCTGGGCATTCTGGGAGGCTGCTGGCCTCATCTTCTAGGAACTTCCCTCCTTTGTGACCCTGCCCACTGTTCTCTTTTAGGGGTCTCTTAGCAGCAGTAGCCAGATGGGGTGACACACGTGGGCACAGCTCTTTATAAGCACCCATTTCCCATGCCCTGGCAGGGTGGTGAACATCTGTAATGTCATCGTGCAGGAGTGGCTGAGTCAGGGGGATCCTAAGTTTGAGTTCCTCCTGGGTCACATGATGAGTTACAGGCCAGCCTGGGGTATGAAGAGAACCTGCCTCCAAATAACCAGCGAAACCAGGGCTAATGAGGTGGCTCAGCGGCACTTGCCACTGACTGGGATGACTTGAGTTCGATCCCTGGAACTCACATGGTAGAAGTGGACCAATTTCTGCAAGTTGTTCTCTGTTTTCCACACGTGTGCTGTGGCACACATGTGCATGTAAATGCATGCACGTGTATACGCGTGCGCGCGCACCCCCCTCCCCCACATACTGAAATAAATGTTAAAAAGAAAAATCTTAAAAGCCGAACAAATCAAACAAAACTAGGCATTTCCCTGAGTCCTTCCTTCCTCAGACAAGGGGCTGTGGGTTGTCCCAGACTCTGCCTTCCTGGTACCTGCAGGGATAGCGCCGAGACAGACGCCTGAAGACCTTGTTGCAGGCTGCACAGTGTCCAGCGGCCACGGTAGACAGCTGCTGGAGCCTCTGCCACTGGTGGTCCTTCTCGCTGATGGGTAGGGTGGAGGGGGAGACAGAGAGAGAGAGAGAGAGAGAGAGACAGGGAGGTGGTGATGGAGGAGACAGGGCCTCACATTGGCCTGAAGCTTGCCAGGTAGGTGGGGCTCACTAGCCATTGAGTCCCATAGATCTGTCTGCCTTTGCTTTGTTAGCACTGAGATTGGTTGAATTAGTCCTCATGTTTACACGGCAAGCATGTTACTGACTGACCTAGCTCCCTGGTCTTCTTCAGTGGTGTGTGTGTGCTCGTGTGCTCATGTGTGTGCGTGTGCATCTTACTGACTGACCTAGCTCCCTAGCCCTCCTCAGTGGTGTGTGTGTTATTGCTTGTATGCATATATGTAGACAAAACACTCATATGTAAAAATACATACAAAAAATCAAATAAGGGTTTTGTGAGATGGCTCAGTGGGTAAAAGTACTTGCTGCGCAAGCCTGGAGACCTTGATCTGCTTGCTGGAATCCTTACAAAGGTGGAAAGGAGAGGGTGGACCACACAAAGTTGTCCTCTGACACATATGCCCCCACCATGCATGTGTATACAAACACACAATAATAAATAAGAAGTGTTTAAGTAAAACTCAAACCATACAGAGGGTTTATAAAAGCCTAGCCACCCTCCTTCTTCCTTCTCCAGTGACAAACTGTTTCTCCTTGGTATTTGTCAAGGTAAATACTCCTCTGGAGCCGTTTCTCCCTGGTATTCCTTCCAAACTCGAGTAACAGGCTTCCTTAGACAGAGGTTGTTCTCTATGGAGTTCCTTCCCTTGATCGTGGAGGAGCCATCTATCTGTTACTATGCCCACCGACTTCTCCTTCCTCCCACTGTGGTCCGGTCCCTAGTCTGGGTTCCTCTGCCAGTAACTCTGCTCAATTCGCAGAATATAATTCTGTATTCTCTTTCTCTCACCCATAAGCCATACCCTGAAACTTCCATTCTGCAAGCCTCCCGTCCCTTCAGCCCCCCACCCCCAACGTGTCACCTGCTAAAGCAACCATTGTGGAAACCACTAGCCATGAGTCTGCTTTGATATAAATCAAATAAGAGGAAAACTTTAGTTGCATCAGCTCAATATCTCAAGTTTGCAACTTCTTCATGAGATTAGTAACAATCGTATTGCAAACCACAAACCACTCATCTTCACAGAATATGATATTTTAATCTTTTCTTTTTGGGGGGAGGAGGTGTTGGGTTTTTCTGTGCAACAACCCAACTGTCCTGGAACTCGCTCTCGTAGACCAGGCTGGCCTTGAACTCACAGAGATCTGCCTGCCTCTGCCTCCCGAGTGCTGGGATTAAAGGTGTGCATCACCACCACCTGGTGAGTTGAATCTTTTCTATATTTAATATTCATTCACATATATAAAATACATTCACATTCCATTTTGTGCGTGTGTGTGTTCTTCTGTGTATGTACATATGTACATATGTCTGCATATGTGCATGTATGTTAAGGCCAGAAGTCGCCCTCCACCCTTTTTGAAACAAGGTTTCTCACTGAGTTTGAAGCTCTCTGATTGGGCTGCAAAGGCTGGCTAATGAGCTCTGGGGATTTCCTGTGTTGCCTTCCCCGTGCTGAGGTTATAGGTGCACACTGCTGTGCCTAGCTTCAATGCTGGGTGCTAGGGGAATCTCAAGTTAGGTCTTCACGCTTTTATGGCAAGTACTTTACGCACTGGCCATCTGTCCGGGTTCTGCATTCTTTTTTTTTTAAAAATCATTCCAATTGTCTTTTTTTTTTCTTTTTTAGAAAGGGTTTCTCTATGTAGCCCTGACTTGCTTAGCACCAGTACTGGATTCAATCCCCAGTATTGCAGAAGCCATACAAAATGAATAAGACAAATGAATAGCATTTATGTTATTAGATAATATATATGTTTCCTAAATAAGTTGTGCTTTTAAACTTATACCGATGTATTTATTGTACTCTATGTGTGTGAGCACATCCACACACCATGTACACAGGAGATCAGAGGACTCTCTGGACTGGCTTCTCTGCTCCCACCTTGTAGGTCCCACGAATTAAACTTGGCAGCAAGCGCTTTTCCTACTGAGTCCGCTTGCCAACTCTTTTCTTGAAAGTCAGGAAGACAGGATCTCTGATTGCGGCCCGGGCTGTCCTTGAGCCAATGGCTTCTGCTTCAATGTCTGAGTACTAGAGATAGTGTAGACACTCTGGGTCTTTCTGTAAGTTCCTTATTTTCTTTCTTTTCATTTTATTTTTATTTCTATTATTATTTTATCTGTATGGGTGTTTTGCCTGCATGTATGTCTGTGTACACATGCATGCAGGGTCTAAGGGGACTAGAAGAAGGTGGGTCATTCTCTGAGACAGGAGTTATAAACAGTTCTGAGCTGCCTTTTGGGTACGGGGAATCGAACCTGGGTCTTCTAGAAGAGTAACCAGTGCTCTCAACCACTGAGCCACCTCTCCATCCCTCTGAGTGTCTTTCTGAACTCACTGCATCTTCTGCTTTAACATATGATTTCCCTCTCATCATCATCATCATCATCATCATCATCATCATCACCATCATCATCATCATCATCATCATCATCACCATCATCATCACCATCATTACTACTACTACCATTACCATTGTAGTGGACAGGTTGTTTCTATGTAGCCCAGGCTAGCCTTGAACATGTGATTTTCCTCCCTCAGTTTTCCTCATTCCGGTAGTTCAGGCATGCACCCACTGTGCCTGACTTCCCCCGAATCCCATCTTGGTGGCTCCCTTTCCTTTCTCCTAGCTGGAACTGTTGCTCCCAGAACTACATCTTCTCCTTTCTCGGCTTACTTCCTTTTTTCTCTGGAGCACATCCTCAGCAAGCTTCTTAAGAAAGGCTGTGTGGGAGTTGAATTTTCTGAGACCTGTCTTATTCACACCCGTGGCCCTCACCTTCACCATTGAATTTATGGTTTATCTGGATGTGGAATTCTACTTCAAGAGTAGGCTTTTCTGAGAACTTGAGAGTTATTGCATCATAGACACCAACACATGTTGAGCACTCCTGTCCTTATGCGTTTTCCTCCAGACAATTTGAAAATCACATTTCTCTTTGCTTTTCTGAAGCAAATGCTGTATCTAGGTATGAGCAACAAATTTCCCCTTTTGTTTATTGTGTTGAGAATTTAGTGAGAGCTAAAGACTGGTGTCCATCAGAGCCTGCATTTTTAATCTTTATAATACCTTCTCAAACCTATTTAATTTTAGCCTTTTCTTTTTGGAAACCTCTGCCAGTTGGAGAGAGTATTAGGACTCCTAGACTGGTGTGTGTATGTGTCTGTGTGGTGTGTGTGTGTTTATACATATGTTCACGTGTGTTCACATAGAGGTCAGAGGTTGACACTGGGCATCTTCCTCAGTTACTTTCCACCTTGTCTTTTGAGACAGCATCTCTCAGTGAGCCTAAAGCTCACCATTTGGCTAGATTAGCTGGCTAGCGAGCCTAGAGATCCTCTTACATTCATCTCCCTAGCACTGGGTTTATGGGCATGCTACCTCTGGCTTTTAGCACAAATGTTAAGGATCCTAACTCTGGTCCTCATGATTACATGGCAAACATTTACCTACTGAGCCATCTTCATAATGCCCAACCTCCCCACTGATTTCTCTGTCCCCATTTCTGTTGTTACTTATACCTGTTTTTCCTGCTTTTATCCCATTTTCTGGGAACCTGCTTTTAATTAATTGACTAATTTAGTTAGTTAGTTAATTAGTTAGTTTTGGTTTTTTTGAGACAGGGTTTCTCTGTGTAACAGACCTGGCTATTCTGGAACTTTCTTTGTAGACCAGACTGGCCCCGAACTCACAGAAATCCACCTGCCTCTGCCTCCTGAGTGCTGGGATTAAAGGCGTGCGCCACCACCGCTCGGTTTATCTTTATTTTCTAATCCTTTTGGTGAATTAAACAAATCAACAATTTTATTTTATTTTATTTTCTGAGACAGGGTCTCACTACAGCCCACGGTGTTTCAGGACACACATCCTGCTGTCTCCACCTTCCCAGTGCTGGGATGACAGGCCTGGCTGTACACACACACACACACACACACACACACACACACACACGTGTGGTCAGAGATGGCTTTCATGAGCCGGTTCTCCCCTTTCACCACGGGCTCTGAGGCTTTGCTTCAGGCCAGCAGGCTTGTGCGGCAAGCGCCTGTATCTGCCCTCCTTGAATTATTTGTCTCCTCCAAGCCGACATTGTTCTCTTTTCACTGTTAACGTGTGGATTCCTTGCACAAGAATTTAGTTCTTGACAACTCCAGCAACCTGTTCCTTTTCATGGAACCTGAGACCAGTGGTGTCGGGTCCCCTGAGCTGCATGGAAGGAGTGC